TATGTATGCAAATCAAACAATGTTTTACTGACTGCCTAGCCAACTTAATGTACAAATTGAAAAAGTATTTAGCAACTTAAATATTCTGATCATATATTGTATGAGAACCTCTTTAAAAAATATGGGTAACCAGGGTGTATCGATTATGCTTACATAACATAGGCAGGGTTTGAGTACATCCTCAGTTCACTCACTAAAAGAAGAAAACATTTGAAGTTCTTAAGCTTACCAGATACTGAAGTGTGGTCACTGAATGGAGACACATACCACATCAGCAGCCTGAAAAACAATAGGTCAGTAAGACTTGTAAAATTGTAAGTTGCGCTAAATGTATTTTAAAATTCTTTGTGATTTCTTTTATCTGAATTCACACGCAGGCCCGGGAAAGTATGTAATTTCAAAAACACACATGGTGCATGCTCATATATGTCACTGCTGGAGAAAATGCCGAACACACATGGTATTTTATGGTTAGATGCACAAACACAAAAGTGCAACCAAAGCAACACCGGTGTTACTTCTGTCTCAGCTTGACTCTGACATCCTGTATGCGCTTGTCATTTTATTCAATTCAGTTGAATTTTTTTTTATTTTAACTGACCTCCACTGCTATACTCACACCAGCAAACATTGGAATAGCATTTACTGGGGTGAAAGATCAAGGAACTGTTAGTTAAAGGACCGCTATAGGCACCCAGACCAAGTCAGCTCAATTAAGTGGCCTGGGTGCCAGTTCCATCTAGTGTTAACCCTGCAGCTGTAAAGATAGCAGTTTCTCTGAAACTGCTATGTTTACACTAGGGTTAATCCAGCCTCTAGTGGCTGTCTCACTGACAGCCGCTAGAGGCACTTCTGCGATTCTCACTGTGAAAATAAGTGAGAAGACGCTGGACGTCCATAGGAAAGCATTGAGAAATGCTTTCCTATGGGCGGTTTGAATGCACGTGTGGCTCTTGCTGCGAATGCGCATTCGGTGCCAATGTCGGCAGGAGGAGGGAGCCTGGTGCTGGAGAAAGGTAAGTGTTTTAACCCCTTCAGCCCAGCGGGAGTGGGACCCTGAGGGTGGGAACCTAAAGACCCTATAGTGCCAGGAAAAAGTTTGTTTTCCTGGCACTATAGTGGTCCTTTAAGAAAATATGCATAAAAGAATATTGCAAACACAATAAACACTGCAGGCTGCTGAAGTGATTATGGCGCCATGAGTATTTAGTTAAATTGTTTGATAGCTTACCTGGGGTCCGCTAGGTGCTTGACACCTACCCCATCCAAACTCTAAAGCAGCTTCCGTTTGCTCCACAGAGACAAGCCCTACCATGCAGGGCAGGCGCCAATTAGCAGAAAGCATAAACTGAGCTCTCTAAGCCAACGAGCCAAGCACTACACCGCAGAGCTTAGCTCATTGCAAAAGCTTCTAGGGCATTGGATTACAGGAAAGTTTAAAGGGACACTATAGCCAACAAAACAACCACAGCTGAATGTAATTCTGGTGAGTATAGCCTGTCCCTGCGGGCTTTTTGCTGTAAATACTTTTTTCCCCCCAGAAAAAACAAACAAAAATGAAGTGTTTACATTACACACTACTCAGATGGCCACTGGGGAAATGCTGTACCACTGACATTCATTGTCTCCACCCTCTGCATGGAGACTCTGAACATGCCTCAGAGATGCATTAAGTCAATGCAGTTTTACAAGGAAATGCTGATTGGCTATGGTGGTGTTTGGCTCTGCCCCGACCTGCCTCCTAGGCTAAAATAAAATCAGAATTGACAATCTCAGTCAATCCAATGCCTTCCTATGGGAAAGCATTGTGAGTGGCTGAGATCATCACTTCTGATGTCAGCCTAGGAGGCAGAGCCAGCACCAACAGATTGGAATGAAGGTAAGATATTGCTGTATTTAGAGGGGGACAGGGCAATGGGGCTAGATAGTGTTTTTAACACTATAGTGTCAGGAATACAGGCTTGTGTTGCTGACCCTATAGTGTTGCTTTTAACGTTATTTATTAAGTTTTGTTTTTTTCGCCCTACAATGGGATGACCTGGAGAATAATGTCCAATAGGGTATTCTGCATTTAAAAAAATAAATAAAAAACGTATAGCTAAAAGCGTTGGAGTAACCTTTTAAATTTACCTCTGAGAAGAAGCTGCACAATTTTTTTTTTCGTATGTGATTTGCAGACATTAAGGTTGTTAGTCGTGAAGTATTTTGTTAGTTAGCTTTCATAAAAGATACATGACAAATCAAGAATAGATCTGATACAAAAGATCATTAAAAACCTGTGAATATAGCTGTGACCTCTAATTAGAGCATTTTGACAGGTAACAAGTTGACTTTAAATTTCCCGTTACAAAATAGTATAAACAATGCAGGGATGCAAACTTTTATACAAACATAACGTCCAACATGCAGACACTCAAAAAATTATACAATGCTTAGTAGTACAAGGACCATGTGAATCCTTGTTTAATCAAGCATTACCTATGTCAGCAGCATAAACCCACTAAAAATGCATGGGAAAACACAGTGTACTGACGGAACCTTATTCTTAGAAAAAAAAAATTTAGAATTCTTTTTTTAAATTACCATGTGTAGTCTTCCAGACAAAAGAGTACGCAGCAGCTCTGGTAAGTGACAGCATGACATATCTTCAGCAGAATTTTGAAGTATCCAGGTCTCTGTAGTAAGAGAACTATTCTGATTTTGGCTCCAGTGCTGTACAATTCCTTTGAGCCGAATAGTTAAACTCTTAGAATGTCTTTGGCTTATGGAAAGAGGTTCTAAAGTGACAGGGCATTCCCAGCGATCAGCAGCTACACCTGAAATGTAAACACTGTTTAGAAATCGGAACTATGGATCACCCAAATTCTGAAAATGCGCTTGCAAAACAGCAAAATCAATTACCAGGTGGTATGAAGAAAACAACACCATTTTGCTGTGGAAAAAGCAGCCGATGGTCAGCCTCACTGCATATTACATAATTCAGAACAGAATCACAGGGGATATTGAGACTTGTAGTTGGATTGAAATGACTAAAGGATAGTTGGTGGCTTGAAGAAAGTAGTAATGATGCTGATGGCAGAACTCTTCCTCCAATAAGCTGCATTAATTCCACCATTGTCAAGTAACCAGAATGCTCTGACAAATTCCAAACCTACAGGAGAAATGAAAGTTTATTTAAAAAACTAAATATTACAACAGTGAAACAGATCTTAAGAAGTTATCTTGGCTTCTGCAACTCAATGGGTAACAATCAAATGATAAAGATATCAAATTTCAATACAACATGTGAGTATACTAACATGTTATTTGATAAATGACATCCGTATTCCTCTGGTGACAATCTCCACCAGACCTCATAGCACGACCAGTTTAATAAATTTTGTAACCTAGTTTTGAGGCACGGGTTTGCCTCATGCAGTTTTCTTAATGCTATGATATAATGCAGTGTTTCCTAAACCAGTCCCCAAGAACGACCAACAGTTCCGGCTTTGTCAGTTTCTCCATTGGAATAAAATAACGAAATGTATAAATCCGGGACTGGTTTGGAAACCACTAATAGAATGCATTGCTTAAGGGTCCTAGGTAGCGTACTGGTTTGTTTTCACCTCTTTCATTCTTTACATAGCGATTATACTTGGGCCAAGCAAATTCATAGATCTGGAGCCCATATCTACCCTCAGGGTTCTCTTGTGGTTAATCCTGCTCTGATACTTATCCCCTCTCCAGTGTACCAATAGTTGACATGTCAGGTTCATACGTGTTGCACTAGATGTACAAAACTTCAAAAATGTCGCTGAGAAATTGTAGATGTTTTGTTACTGCTTAGTATGCATATATGAGGTTTTAAATATTGTAGAACAAAGTGTGTTTTTATTACACATATTACTGGTGTGCATTCTTATCTTTTTTGATGTTTGTATAGTTAGTAATTGAGGGAGTACTGAGTAAGTAAAAGTACCCTTGCATTCATTTTTAGCATATGGTTTGGTGTTGGTATACCCTTTTATTGTGTATTGCAAGAGTTGGAGGAAGGTTCTCTTGCCTAAAATTTCTCAGCATACAGGTATGTAAATTATTTTATTGCGTGGTTTGTAATATATACATTTTGCCATGAATTTGGATAGCACCAAGAATAGTTGAAACAGGTGCACTTCACTCATTTGACCTACTACTACAAATCTTGATTTTTATTTTTTTTGCTATACATTTAAACCTCAAGTTATTGTCTATAAAACACACTATAGGATTTATTTATTTTTTGGGTGGGGGGGATAGCCTTCTCTGTACAAGATGGCTCTTTGCCCTCTAATCTGGAGCAATCCAGTGCCTAACATTTTCCATAACATTCACTAATTTGACTGATATTGTCATTTACCTGCCAGCACAACTCACACTCCTAGATGACATTTCCATAGACCAGTGCAGTGTGTATTCACAGAAGGTGCAGGAATGCCATATTCTTGCGTTCTCGAAGTACATACTTTATTGGACTATGGAAATGCAGTTTAGAAGTGCATAAGAGGTGTGCTGGCAAGTAAATGAAAGCATGCACAGCAGTCGAATGCACTATGCCAGGTGATGATTATAGACAGTGAATTACTACGATGTGCCAAAAAAAGACAGATAACATAATGGTGGGGAGAAGAGGGAATGACAAACACAGACATGTAGCAGCGTGGTACACCAAGTAGAAACCCAGTTAGGAACACATTTTTTAAAAGAAGGTTGTGTGGATATACCAGTAGGAACATGGGGCTTTGTTGTGCATTTCTTTTTTTACAATATAACTACAGGACATTGATGTGGCCAAAACATTCCAAATACATTAAAGTTTTGTTTGTAGCCTAGAATATCCCTCTTTGTTACAATTTTTGTTACACGAAATGAGTATAAAGTTACAAGTGGTGTTTTCTTTTTTTTTTTTTTTTTACAACCAAAATGAAAAACACCCCACTATATGTAAACACAGCACTGCAGAGCCAGGGAATGACAACTTCCCACTACAGATTTACCGACAATTACCGAAATAAGTAACATCACATGGACACAGTGTAACCCTAAAACTTCACCACACAGTGGAGGACACTGCTGTCACCGCTCCTACAATGGGTTATTGGGTTATCCATGTCCTACTCGCGGGGAATAGGAAGGTTAATGGATTAGTGATTATTTGTAATAGATTTGCATATTAATGAGGGAGCCCATCACCTGTGCCCAGTCCATGGTGTCCAGCCAGTGCAGGGTGACCCTCCTGCTGGTGATGATGCTCTGCAGGCCCCTTGGTAGGAGTCTGTCCATGACTTGCTGCAGGCCGGTGTCCCCCGCGCTGTCCCCGCCGGTGGTGAAGTGTCCGAGCTGGCTGGCGGTGTGGGGGCAGGGGGAGAGCAGGAACACGGCATTGCCACCGCCATCGCGGCTCCCACACTGGGCCTTGTCGGCCGCCTCCCCCCCGGCCGGCCCTCTCCTGGCTCTCCGGGCCCGCAGGGGTTTGGTGGGGGAGCTGATGTCCGGCCGGTCCCATTGGAAGTCGGACAGGGTGTCCATGAGGGCGGTGTGGGTGAGCCCGGCCCGGGAGCTGGGGGTGTGACAGGCCCGGCTCTGCCCAGCCCGCTCCCAGCAGGCCTCCAGCTCCTCCTCGAACTCCCCCCAGCTCCGGGGGCCCACTTCCCGCAGGTCGGAGCGGCGCGGGGGCCTGCAGCGGCCGCCCAGCGAGTTCAGGAAGCGGTAGCTCCAGCGGACCCGGCCGAGGCCGGCGCGGCACGTCAGGAAATTGAGCAGCCGGAGGGACAGGAGCCGGACTCGGTGCTTGGCTGCCGGATCCGCGGTGTCCACCAACAGCACCACGTTATGGGAGGGAGCCATGGCAACCGGGAGTGATGGCGGTCCGCTCTGCTCCGGGGATAGCTACTCCGCCATCTTACCTCATCCCAACACACACACACAGAGCGATCAAACCAGCCGCGCGAGGCGACAGGCCGAGCACTCATTGGTCGTGCGATCTCCAGCCTCGCTGCCTGATTGGTAGATTGGCGAGCTGGGGGCGGAGCGTTTAGCGCAACACGTAGACTGCCATTTGCGTCACTTGGTGCCGTGAACCGATTCGTCAGAGCGGATGTCAATCAATCCCCTGACTGGCTGTGCGGCCCTGCTATTGGCTGAGATTCATATTTAAACCTTTACATTGTAAACAGCGGAAGCCAGGACTCAATTACTACAGGTTGCAGTGTGTCACTATTCAGACACTTTATATAAACGATAAACATATCAGAGTTATTCATTAAAATGTGAATTGTCAGAAATTCAATGTAAATGTCACAGTTTCAGACATCCCAACTAGCACACAGATACACGCACTGGCACATACACACTCAGATACACACTGACACCAGATACACGCACTGTCACATACACTCAGATACACACGGACACGCAGATACACGCACCGGCACATACACTCAGATACACACGGACATGCAGATACACGCACTGGCACATACACACGGACACACAGATACACGCACTGGCACATACACACTCAGATACACACGGACACGCAGATACACGCACCGGCACATACACTCAGATACACACGGACATGCAGATACACGCACTGGCACATACACACGGACACACAGATACACGCACCGGCACATACACTCAGATACACACGGACATGCAGATACACGCACTGGCACATACACACGGACACACAGATACACGCACTGGCACATACACACTCAGATACACACTGACACGCAGATACACGCAGATACACACGGACACACTGGCACATACACACTCAGATACACACAGACACGATACACACACTGCACATACACTCAGATACACACGGACATGCAGATACACGCACTGGCACATAAACACTGACAGGCAGATACACGCACTGGCACATACACACTGACACACAGATACACGCACTGGCACATACACTCAGATACACACGGACATGCAGATACACGCACTGGCACATACACACGGACACACAGATACACGCACTGGCACATACACACTCAGATACACACGGACACGCAGATACACGCACCGGCACATACACTCAGATACACACGGACATGCAGATACACGCACTGGCACATACACACGGACACACAGATACACGCACCGGCACATACACTCAGATACACACGGACATGCAGATACACGCACTGGCACATACACACGGACACACAGATACACGCACTGGCACATACACACTCAGATACACACTGACACGCAGATACACGCACTGTCACATACACACGGACACGCACTGGCACATACACACTCAGATACACACTGACACGCAGATACATGCACCGGCACATACACTCAGATACACACGGACATGCAGATACACGCACCGGCACATACACTCAGATACACACGGACATGCAGATACACGCACTGGCACATACACACTGACACACAGATACACGCACTGGCACATACACACTCAGATACACACTGACACGCACTGGCACATACACACTCAGATACACACTGACACGCAGATACACGCACTGGCACATACACACTCAGATACACACTGACACGCAGATACACGCACCGGCACATACACTCAGATACACACGGATATGCAGATACACGCACTGGCATATACACACTCAGATACACACTGACACGCAGATACACACATGGAAACACACACTCAGATACACTCAAATACACACTGACACAAACATTCAGATATACACACTGACACACTCAGATACACACTGACACATACACTCAGATACATACACAATGACACGCAGACCCATACACTCAGATACACACTGATAGGCAGATTCACACATGGAAACACACACTCAAATACCCACACTGACACATACACTCAGATATACACACTGACACACAGATACCCGCACTGGCACATACACACTGACACGCAGATACACACATGGAAACACACACTCAAATACCCACACTGACACATACACTCAGATATACACACTGACACACTCAGATAAACACACATACACACTGACACACAGATACCCGCACTGGCACATACACACTGACACGCAGATACACACATGGAAACACACACTCAAATACCCACACTGACACACTCAGATACACAGACATACACTCAGATACATACACACTGACACGCAGATACACACATGGAAATACACACACATACCCTCAAATACACACACTGACACATACACTCAGATATACAAAATGACACATACACTCAGATACACACTGACACACAGATACATACATGGAAACACACACTCAGATACACTCAAATACACACTGACACATACACTCAGATATACACACTGACACACTCAGATACATACACACTGACACACAGACCCATACACTCAGATACACACTGGCACATACACACTCAGATACAAACTGACACGCAGATACACACATGGAAACATACACTCAGATACACTCAAATACACACTGACACATACACTCAGATATACACACTGACACACTCAGATACATACACACTGACACACAGACCCATACACTCAAATACACACACTGACACATACACTCAGATACACACTGACATGCAGATACACACATAGAAACACACACTCAGAAACACACAAATACACTCAAATACACACACTGACACATACACTCAGATATACACACTGACACTCAGATACACACTGACACATACATTCATTACACACTGCATATTGGGTCTCTCAGTATTTCAGACATTACAACAGGGCCTTATAAACCCTGCAGGTTTTTTAACTCACACTCAGATACACACTGACATGCAGATACACACATTGAAACACACACTCAGATACCCACTTACACATACAATATCTCACAAAAGTGTAAATATTTTATATCTTTTCATGTGACAACACTGAAGAAATTACACTCTGCTACAATGTAAAGTAGTAAGTGTACAGCCTGTATAACAGTGTAAATAAGCTGTCCCATCAAAATAGCTCAACACACAGTCATTAATGTCTAAGCCGATGGCAACAAAAGTGAGTACACCCCTAAGTGGAAATGTCCAAATTGAACCCAAGGTGTCAATATTTTGTGTGGCCACCATTATTTTCCAGCACTGCCTTAACCCTCATGGGCATGGAGGTCACCAGAGCTTCACAGGTTGCTACTGGAGTCCTCTTCCACTCCTCCATGACGACATCACGGAGCTGGTGGATGTTAGAGACTTTATGCTCCCCCACCTTCCGTTTGAGAATGCTCCACAGATGCTCAATAAGGTTTAGGTCTGAAAACTTGCTTGACAATTCCATCACCTTTACCTTCAGCTTCTTTAGCAAGGCAGTGGTCGTCTTGGAGGTGTGTTTGGGGTCGTTATCATGTTGGAATACTGCCCTGCAGCCCAGTCTCCGAAGGGAGGGGTTCATGCTCTGCTTCAGTATGTCACAGTACATGTTGTTCCCTCAATGAACTGTAGCTCCCCAGTGCCGGCAGCACTCATACAGGCCCAGACCATGACACTCCCACCACCATGCTTGACTGTAGGAAAGACAGATACATACAGACAGACACACACACACACACACACGACATACATACAAAGACACATACATGCAAACAGACAGGCACATATACATACAGACAGATAGACACAGACACATACATACAAACAAACAAACACACACATAATGTTTAAGTCACCCTCCTGTTTCCTACCTTTTAGGTGCAGGAGGGTCACTTTCCCTGGGGTCCAGTGGTGGCTCAGGTTGATGGGAGTCAGAGTTCCCTCTCTGACTACCTCTGTTTCCTCCCGCGCGGGCTCTCAGTGATAGCTGGGAGGTGTGACAGGCAGTCACTACATCCCACCGTGTGATGATCTCATCACAGGGGGCCCGGTCGCGCTGTTAAATCGCCGCAGCGCTGACCGGGCCCCCTGACAAGCCCCCTGCCCTCACAGCATGGGCCACCCGATGGGCACTTTAACATGCGGCCCCGGTGGTTTGCCGCGCGGGCCAGGGGCGCAAATGATGATGGCGGACACCTGGTCGCAGGGGTCTGCAGGGCGGCCGGGCCCCCTGGAGTGACAGGCCGGGTCGCAGCTGCGACCCATGCGACCGCTATATGTACGCCAGTGATTGACACCATCTGAACCAAATAAGTTTGTCTTGGTCTCATTGGACCACAGGACATGATTCCAGTAATCCATGTCCTTAGTCTGCTTGTCTTCAGCAAACTGTTCGCAGGCTTTCTTGTGCATCATCTTTAGAAGAGGCTTCCTTCTGGGATAACAGCCATGCAGACCAATTTGATGCAGTGTGCGGTGTATCGTCTGAGCACTGACATGCTGACCCCCCACCCCTTCAACCTCTGCAGCAATGCTGACAGCACTCATCCGTCTATTTCCCAAAGACAAATATGTATATGACGCTGAGCATGTGCATGCAACTTCTTTAGTTGACCATGGAGAGGCCTGTTCTGAGTGGAACCTGTCCTGTGAAACCGCTGTATGGTCTTGCCCACCGTACTGCAGCTCATTTTTTGTTTCCTTGGCAATCTTCTTATAGCCTAGGCCATCTTTATGTAGAGCAACAATTCTTTTTTTCAGACCCTTAGAGAGTTCTTTGCCATGAGGTGCCATGCTGATCTTCCAGTGACCAGTATGAGAGAGTGTGTGAGCGATAACACCAAACTTAACACATCTACTCCCCATTCACACCTGAGCAACACCAACGAGTCACATGACACCGGGGAGGGAAAATGGCTAATTGGGCCCAATTTGGACATTTCCACTTAGGGGTGTACTCACTTTTGTTGCCAACGGTTTAGCATCTTCACCTGTGTGACTCTTAACCCGCCTTTTGTTTCTTATCCTCATTTTCAAATGTCTTGCCCCCTTTAGTGTATCTTATCTCCTATTATTCCCCATTGTGTATCTCTTACAACCCCCCCTTGTGTATCTTACTCCCACTAGCCCCGTTGTGTGCCTC